AGATTAAATTTCCCTAATTCAATTGGAAATAATAAATATGTAAAGCAAGCTTCATCTTCAAGATATTTCATTTATTTGATCTTGCCCATAATATCTTAATCTTTTAACTAAATAAAATAATTTTATGGTTCTCTTGTCTTTAGTTTTACAACAATTTCAAAAGTTTTCTATGCAATACATGTAGATGGAGATATTATTTCCACATTTTATAAATAAGATACAACGGTAACATTGTTTAAATTAATAAAAGCCTCATAGTTCATCTAATTTCTTTTATATTTGATTCTAAATTAACCAAAATTAGTATAATTTGTTTAAACTCTAGTCATAAAAATAACATTCAACTTATTTTTATTATAAAATTCAAGATCAACAAATGGTTCAAATTCTGTTTATATATAATCAATATCTTACAATTCTAATTAAATTGCACATTTACTAAAATCACTCAAAGTATTTTATGCATTTTAAAAAACACTACCCAATTATTTAATTTTTCTATAGTAAGTAAATGGAAAGATAAATTTTATTTTCTTGAAGTATTCTTCATCTTGAATCTTGAATCCAACAACTCTAGCATGAATATTACTATCTTTTATTAATAAAGTAAATTATCTATTATTTATAATATTATTATTATTTTCTTTAAATTTGAGAAGACTATTCTTATTTTAATCATAATTTAATAATTACAAATCAGTTTGATAACTTAATTCTACCTAAATTTCATTTACTTCATTTATATATGCAAAATCTTATTTAAATGTTATTATAGGGGGATCCCTTTTATATTTGGATAGCAATCCTACTCTAAATTTGTTTGAAAATAGCTCTACATCTTATGCAATTATTTTTATTTAAAGTTTATCCCTATATATTAAAAATTAAATTACAAATATTTTCCATAAAGTTAAACTTGAACTGGTTTTTCTATAGTTTTAATTGTTTTAATTGTGATATGATTTGTAGCAATAAATTCTATTTAGTGATTCTTACTAATAATTACACTAGTTTCAAACATAGCTAAAATTTAATGATTAATATTCAAGTCTACTTTTAAATTAATGTTTTATTCATCAGATTCTAATTTAGAAATAGTTATAAATTTATTTGCAGGAATTAAAATATTTAATTTTTGATCTAATTGTTCTGCCAAACTCTTAATTTCCTAAATTATATCTTATTCATAAATTAGTATTTCGCTCTATAATTATATTTATTTTTTAAGTTCTGCCGATTAGGCTTCAAGCTATAATATATTTTTATATTCATCGATTAAACCAAATAAATTAATTAGTCAACGATTTAGGATTTTAAGTCAAATTGTCGAGTAATAATTATTTGTAAATATTTAAAATATACATTTGCATAATTATTTTAAATCTAAATCTAACTATTCTCTATATATTATTTCCAAATAAATGACACATTAGGAACTAAATTTATTTCATTTTTTCTATATTTGATTATATGTTAATAATAAAATAATTTTTCATCCGATTTTAGATCTATAGGTTGTTCATTCTCTTTTTTTTAATTTAATAATATGGTCTTCCTAAAAATTCAGGCTCTTATTTAGATATAAGAAAATCAAACTATTAAATTGAAAAATCTTGGTACATTTCCTTTATTTGCTTAAGTTTGATGTAGCTTAATAAAGTAGTCTTTTATAATAGATAAAGTTATACTTAAAAATAGTTATAAATAACAGTATAATTAGTGATCATTATTTTGGATTCTATAAATTTTATGATAGCCACAAAAATTTTAACTCTCCATAAATATTCTTGTATTTCAAATAATTTGTAGAATATCAAATTTTTAAAAGTTTTTAAATGAATTTCAAATTCTTAAATTACATCTTGATGTTCTAAATTTCTAAATAATTTAAATCTTAATTAATCTGCAATCTATTATTTTGAAACATGATAGTACTTCTCTATATTCTTCTGCTTATTAAATTAATTCATAAGAAGTATAAAAAGAATTATCATCAGTAAAATTTAAAATTTCTTTCCTTTTAGCTGCTAATTGAGTAACAATTTCATAAGATGTTTACAAATGTTTCTGTGTCTTTTTTTAGTTGTTTTCAATTTCACTAATTAGTGTTTTTTTAATTTCAAAAATGAGCTTTTAATCGCTTAAATCACTCTTTTATAATTTACTAGTTTCAGATTTATATTTATTAAATAATTCTGAATAGAAAGTGTTCGAATCATCTACAAACATTTTTTTAATTCTAAATTAAAATTATTAGATTTAAAATACCTTCTCAATTATTGTACAATATTATCAAATTCAAAGGCAAAAACTTTTCTTAAATCAATTTCCTTCTTTAAATAATTGAAATCGAGTCCTCCTACATTTTTACCTGTTATTATAATAATTATTTTTGGTTAGGAAGTTTTGGTTTAAGAAATGTTTTATTTTAAGATGTTGTAATTTTCTAATAATTTGTCCAATTTCTCAGCTATAATAATTCAAATGTATACATTCAGAGATGTCATATATCCAAATTACAACGGAGGGAAACTAAAATATAAAAGAATAAAAATACAGTTTTTAATTTATGAAGCCATGACAATTTAAATATTCCTCCACCGAGATGAAATTTCTTTTTATAATCTAAGTGGAGCATAATATTGAATCTAATTAAGTTTTAATTTTTACTAATGCATATCCCCTTCATTATTAGATAAATCATATTTTAATTTTTCTTTATACTCTCCTAAAATGCAAATGATAGATTTGTTGATAGTGATTAAATCCATTAATATTCAATAATTTATTTTATATTATTATATATGTAATAATTCATATGAAACTAACAATCAAATAATTTTAATTTAATAAATTTTCACTCTTTTTATAAACTTAAATTTTTAGTGATATCTTAATTTTCTTCAATTTAAGTTTAATTGAAATTGTAAATTATTTCTCCAGCAACAACACATAGAAATCCAAAAACTTCTATAATAATAGCACCAAGTCTAATATTTTCCCAATGATAATTTGAGGAAGTAGTAGCTAATGAAATTATTAATGATATGATCCAAATCATCATAATTTTAGCAACATCTACTAAAGCTCTTGTAACACAAGATAAATATTTTGTAACTGTTTAACACATAGTATTGTAGATAGAAATTGATAGAATTCCAAAAATAATAGCAAATTAAAGCAGACCACTTTATTAAAATTGTTGAAAATAATAATCAGCTCTTTCGAAATAAAATAATCCATTGTGTGGAATGCAAACATTATAAAGAAAGTCAGGACACTATGTAAAAGTTAAAGATATGCATATAAATGTGTAAATAATTAAACCCCACATTCCTTCATATCCTATAAGCTCTAATGGATGAATAAAATATGTTTTATAAAACTTTTCTTCAATTGTATATTAAAATCCATATAGGAAAATTGAGAATAACATTAAGAATATTGAAACCACTTATTTTTTTAAATCCTAAATTAAACATTGAAATTACCTATTACTTTTATTCTTCAGGAAATATAAATCCGCTTGTTCCTACAATTGCCACTCCAAATAATACTAATAAACATCCTTAGATTTCTTTCTTTGTATAAATTCGTTTTAACATTATTCTTGATAAAATTGCAGATGTANTTTTTGGTTAGGAAGTTTTGGTTTAAGAAATGTTTTATTTTAAGATGTTGTAATTTTCTAATAATTTGTCCAATTTCTCAGCTATAATAATTCAAATGTATACATTCAGAGATGTCATATATCCAAATTACAACGGAGGGAAACTAAAATATAAAAGAATAAAAATACAGTTTTTAATTTATGAAGCCATGACAATTTAAATATTCCTCCACCGAGATGAAATTTCTTTTTATAATCTAAGTGGAGCATAATATTGAATCTAATTAAGTTTTAATTTTTACTAATGCATATCCCCTTCATTATTAGATAAATCATATTTTAATTTTTCTTTATACTCTCCTAAAATGCAAATGATAGATTTGTTGATAGTGATTAAATCCATTAATATTCAATAATTTATTTTATATTATTATATATGTAATAATTCATATGAAACTAACAATCAAATAATTTTAATTTAATAAATTTTCACTCTTTTTATAAACTTAAATTTTTAGTGATATCTTAATTTTCTTCAATTTAAGTTTAATTGAAATTGTAAATTATTTCTCCAGCAACAACACATAGAAATCCAAAAACTTCTATAATAATAGCACCAAGTCTAATATTTTCCCAATGATAATTTGAGGAAGTAGTAGCTAATGAAATTATTAATGATATGATCCAAATCATCATAATTTTAGCAACATCTACTAAAGCTCTTGTAACACAAGATAAATATTTTGTAACTGTTTAACACATAGTATTGTAGATAGAAATTGATAGAATTCCAAAAATAATAGCAAATTAAAGCAGACCACTTTATTAAAATTGTTGAAAATAATAATCAGCTCTTTCGAAATAAAATAATCCATTGTGTGGAATGCAAACATTATAAAGAAAGTCAGGACACTATGTAAAAGTTAAAGATATGCATATAAATGTGTAAATAATTAAACCCCACATTCCTTCATATCCTATAAGCTCTAATGGATGAATAAAATATGTTTTATAAAACTTTTCTTCAATTGTATATTAAAATCCATATAGGAAAATTGAGAATAACATTAAGAATATTGAAACCACTTATTTTTTTAAATCCTAAATTAAACATTGAAATTACCTATTACTTTTATTCTTCAGGAAATATAAATCCGCTTGTTCCTACAATTGCCACTCCAAATAATACTAATAAACATCCTTAGATTTCTTTCTTTGTATAAATTCGTTTTAACATTATTCTTGATAAAATTGCAGATGTAGCAATAATTCCACATGTCAATATAGAATTAACAGAGGGTGGCAAAAAGTTTAATGAAATGTATATACAAAGTGCTCCTATACTATCACAACAAGTAGGTATAAGAATAAGAAATATGTTTATCCTTTTTAAACCATCATCAAGCGCTTCTTAATATTATTTTTTGTATGACTTAGTCCTTTTTACATATAAAAAAACAAATAAACATAATATCTCAGCTAGAAACATAGAGAGTGTTTACATAAAAGGATGATTAAAGACTCCATAAGTATCTTCTTAATTAATGAAAACTACTTAGCTGTTTTACAAATTAAAAGCTTTTTATCAAAATATATCATTCATTACTTATAATTGCTAATGATCCGAATATTACTAATGTAATTAGTAATAAAGATTTTTTAGATTAACTCAATTTAGACATGAAAAAAATATCTTAAATAAAAATTTGGGTTTATATTTATGTGTAAATAAAAAAAGAATTTGTTTTTCAAATAATTTTTAATTGATAATTAATATAGTGTTTAACAAAATATTGAAATTTCTAAAATCTTATGGATCAATTTTAAATAGCTGAAAGTTCAATATAAGTTCAAAATTATTACATTGCCAGAGAATCTTTACTTAATCATAAATAATAATACTTTAGAACGATTCTGCAAAAGCTTTAATTAAACAATGAAGATTAAGGATAATTAAAAATAATTATTGATTAAACAAATCAAAAATTGGATTTACCTAATAGTTTAGACCTTAAATTTGCTACCAGTCTTCCAAATAAAATAGATGAATAAATATAATTTTTAATCGTTAATGAAACTATTCAGATTGAATCATAAAATGTTGAGGAACTTTAATATTAATGTATTCCACAATTTAATTTGAGCTATTCTTTCTTATGGAAGGAGAATGTAGAGAGAGTAGATTAGATTTATGAATATTTACTTAAATATATTCATGAAGAATAGGATGTTTTAATTTATTGTAAAAATGTCAATGAAATATAATTATTGGCAAATACTTTGGGATAATTTGGTTAAATACAAGTTAGATTAACACCAGAATTTAATAATTTTTATTAAAAACTTGATTAAAGAAAAACAAATTAAACCAATCATATTATATATCTATTGATTGAACCATAATATTTAGAATCTGAATACATTACCTTAATTATTCATACATAATATAAAGAAATTAGATAATCGTTTATAAAAAATAGTCTCACTATTAAAGATGTATTACTTTCTAGACAAGAATTAATAATAAGAGAGATTCCAAAATCTAATTAATAAGGTGTATAAATTATATATAATTTTCCAAATGAAATATATTGTTCTCTTCCTCCAAAAGAAATAAATATAGATTTATATTAAAAAGAAAATTTTGTTGAATAATTTGATAAATCTAAAAATAGTGCCATTATTAAAGGTGCTTTAAATACATCAGGAATTTTACTATAATATCAAAAAAATTCAAATTTGACAATCAGAACTAGCTAACTTTGGTCTATTAAAGGTGATGCCTATTCATGGATTGAAATAATTGAATAACTTGGTACTTTTATAAACTCTATATTACTAAATATAGACTTTGATAAAAACTAAAGCATTTTTGAATTAACTTAATTAGAGAAGTGGTGCGAGGAAAATTTGATCAATCTATATAAAGGAATTCTAATTCTTTTATATGTTTAAAAATTCTCTTAAGAATATGTAATAATTATTATTTATAATAGAATTGTCCTTAAATTAATATATTAAATGTAGATGGTTTAAATATGCCACCAGTAAGACGATCATCTAGTATGTAAATTGTTTAGGAAGATAAACCTTTAGTTGAAGAACAATTAAAACTAAATTTCCCTACAGCAGAGTTGAAAGAAGATAGATTATATCATATTTAAGAATAAAGTTTTAAATTACATTAGAGATGCATTCAACAATAAAAAGGAAGACTTTAATAACACATACATATATTAGCATTATAAGATAATTAAATAATATATCTCCATAATAAAAATAGAAAACCATCTTTGACTCAAAAAGAAATGATAATTAATAATGTAGGTAATGCAATTTTAGAGGAATTATGGAAAAATCAAGGAATAGAAATAAATGAATTGGAAATTAAATATAATTGTTCTATAGAACCAAGTTTAAACTTAAATTTGATATCTATTTATTCTGATGAAAAAGTTGATATGAGTGAATTATAAACCAGAATAGAATAAGTCAAAGAAAATTTAAAGACATAAATTATGGAAATCAAACATATTAGTGGAAAGAAATTAATTTTTCAGAGTGGAGCAGTTATTAGTGAATGGATAAAGCAACATGAATCAAAAGAATTTAAATTAGTTGGACTCCCTCCTAAAATAACAGAAGTTGATATCAAAGAATTATTTGAAGATTTTACTGTAATAACTCATCTTAAATTAAATTATTTGGAAAATGAAACCTAAGCTTAAATTGTTATTGAAGATAAAGATGATATGCCTTACATTATATAAGCATATGATTAATCTGAATATTAAGACAGAATTATAAATGTTATCACAGAAAAGACTAATTTATAATAATAAAAGATTAATTAATAAAAATTTATTTTAAATATTATATGGTATGCCAAACAATGTTCAGGTACTTGTGTTGTTATTTTTAATGAAATAACTTAAGCAACTAATTGCATAAATTAATTTAATAATTAAGTATTAGATGGAAAACAGATTAAAATTATTTAAATTGATGAGTTCACATTAAGCTTTTAAAATTTAAGTCCTTTAACTACTGAAATTGATATTTTAATGTTATGTGGTGGAAAAAAAAATATAAAATATATGGATTTATAATCAAGAATTTTATAAGAGAGTAAGGATGATTATTCATAAAGAATAATACATTTGATTAATAGAAGTATTGAAAAAAATGAAAAAAAAGATGTAGATTTTAATCATACTCATTTGATTAGAAAAACAGGAGGGAAAAGAAAAGCTAAAATTTAAATATCTAGTATACATACTATGTAAAAATTATTAGAAATTTTAAATGGATAAACAATATAATTTGGAGTTAATATAGTGAAAATACATAGTCAAGGATAGTATTATTAATATCATAAAATGCCTAATCAAATTAAATCTCATGTTTTAAATATTTTAAAGGAATATGAAAAGTTTAATTTTAAAGTTTAATTTGAATAAGGAAATTAATCTAAATAAGAAATTTAAATGGCCATACAATCTCACAATATATTAGTACATTAATAATTAGATCAAATTTTAACGACATTTCTGTAAGGTTTTAAAATAGATGTATAAAATAATGGTGATTTTCTTTTTACTACTTTTGGATAGAATAAATTAAAAGATTTTGAAAAGTTAGATGGAAATATATATTTTATGATAGATTAATATAACAAAATGATACGTGTGTGTTGTTAGAAAGAAAAATTATAAGAAATAACAGACTATGTTAATTAAATTACATAAGCAGTTGTTTCTCACAAATTAACAATTCCTCCTGGAGCCATAAAAGAATTAGTTGGTTTAAAAGGTTAAGGTCTTGAAAGTATTAAGAAATAATTTAATTTGGTTTAAATTAAATATAAACAATAAAGCAAAGAACTTTATTTAGAAGGATCTGGCTAAAATATTTAAGATGCTGTTTCATGCATAGAAAATGCTGTATCTGCAACAACTTTGGATGGAGAAACAGTTTAAAATGAAGCTAAATAAGCAGAATGTCCTATATGTTTTGATACTATTAAACATAGTTATTTATTATAAGGATGTGGTCATAAATGTTGTTTAGAATGCATTTCTTTACATTGTTCTAGTATTTTACAAGATGCAAAGCTATTTCCAGTAAGATGTCCAGTTTGTAATGAAAAAATGATTCTAAATGATATATTTTAATTAATTGGATAAGTTAACAAAGATACTTTGATAAATTTGGCACTTAATAAATTTGTTTAAGATAACAATGAGACTTTAACTTATTGTTATACTCCTGGATGTAATAATTTTGAATAAATACAAATTTAAGAAAAAGCAATTTATTGTTCAATGTGTTAAAAATAATATTGTTGTTAATGCAAAGTAGTTAATTTAAATAAAATTAGGCTTTAAGACATCCTGGTTTAACTTGTGAGGAAAATAAAATTGGTGATTAAGGCTTATTATAAAAATTAATGAAAGAATAAGATATTAGAAAATGTCCAAGTTGTTAAGCATTGATTTAAAGAATTGATGGATGTTATAGAGTAACATGTTCGGTTTGCCATAAGAGTATTTGCTGGAAGAATAATAAAAAGGGAGCTCCATGCATGTAAGTGTTTAAGACAGCCTCAGAATGTTATGAACATTTATCTAAAGAACATGGTGGATATTGGTGATTTTCATTTAATATAAATATAATTTTTGAATTTTTTTCTATATATAATTTATATTATTTTAAACCTTTAATTAATTTAATCTCAAAATCAATTCTCTTTGATTTACAATTAATAAGGTAATTGAAAAATAATCCATAATAATTTTTATTAAATGATTAATCATTTTTAATCAATATAAGAAATAGGATTAAAAAATTCATAAATAATTTTATTAAGAATTTAGATGAATATATATCTTAAGAATAAGGAAATCATATATGCAATCTTAATTAGGAATTGATAATGAAATGAATTTCATGTAAACTAATATATATTAAATTATGAATATTTACTTAATTATTATTTATTATAAAAAAATGTTATGCTGTGGTAAAAATAGTAATTAACAGGGTATGAAGAATAAAATGACTAAATTCAGATTTTCAGCTGAAGAAGTTTAAGAATTACAGAGAAGGTAATAAAAATTATTTATAAAAAGATTTTAGAGAATGACAAATGGATCTAATTATTTAACAAAAAATTAATTTAGAGATAATATGGGATTATTAGGTCTTGAAACAGTTTAAGTATTGAGTGATTGTTTATTTTAAATAATTGATGAAGATTAGGATGGTAAATTATAATTTAATGAATTTCTTGCTTATTTTGATAAAATAACTTATGGTTCTTAAGATGAAAAAGCTGAGATATCATATAAATTAATAGATTAAAATAGAAAAGGCTTTTTTACATTAAAAGATTTTTAATAGACAATGCAAGCTTTGATAGATTCTTGGGTTGTTATGACTGGAACAGCAATAACAAATGAGATAAGAGATCATTTAGAAAAAAGAGTTGCATATATATTTACATAAATGGATAAAAATAATGATGAAAAAGTGTCATTTATAGAATATAAAGGAATATTAGCTAGTGATCCTACTCTACTAGACATTTTTGAATTCTTAAGGAAAGGAATAACTATATCTATAAAAGAGGCAACTTTAAAATAAGATTAAATTGTTTTAAGTGAGTTATATCTAATAAAGAATTAAACAGTAGATTTATTTTAAATGATGATAGGATTAAAATAAAATAGATATTCTACAACAGGATAAGCTAAGCCAAATTTAATTTCAAGTTTAATGTTTTGTTAAAAGAAATTGTATTATTTATAAATATTATTTTATAGGAGACCAAATACAAATAGTTAATTTGGAATATAATATTTAATGGGAGAAGAAATAGATGCACTTTCATTAAGAATGTCAAGTACAATAAATGTTAATAAACCACCTCGCCAATAAGGAATTGTTTAAAATAGTTAAATTATTTGTTCTAATAGTTAAATTGGTCCATTTATACATAGAGGAGATTAAGAAATTCCTATTAAAATTGATTATAATTTACAATCTAAAGAAAGTGAAGAAACTTTAGATCCTGAATTAACAGATGGTTTAGAAAAAATTAATTATATGATAGAAGATTAAATTAGGGATAATTATAAGGAAGCTTTAATTAAAATTCATGAATTAAAATAATAAACTTAATAATCATTAGACAGATTAGAGAAAATGTATTAAAAAAAATTAGAAGAATTTAATGATAAAAAGAAAAAAGATTTAGAATTAGCTGAAAAAAGAAGAGTTACTATAGCTAACATAAATAAAAAAAGAAAACCTGCCTTATCTGTTTAATTTGGTCATTAAAATTGGAATCTTGTATTAAATATGATGATAGGAATTTAAATGGCTGTCAAATCAGTTAATGCATTAAGTGATTATGAAGTTAATCTAAAAGATTTTAAATTAAAATATTATTTTGAACTTATGCCTAAAAGAACAGGAAATGATAAAACTACTTTTAAAGTATGTAAATTCTTTGATTATGCTCCTTAAGTATTCAATCACATAAGAAAAATGTTTTTTATAGATAACGATAATTATTTGAGTAGTATTGGACCTGAAACTTTATTATCAAGTATTTTAAAAGGAGATCTAAGTACATTATCTGAATTAACATCAACTGGTAAAAGTGGAAGTTTTTTTTATTATTCTTAAGATGGTATATATACATTAAAAACTATTTCCAAAACAGAATTCACTTTTATGAGGCATATTTTATACAATTATTTTAAACATCTTAAAGATTTTAGATAATCCTTAATAATAAAATTATTTGGAATGCATAAAATTATATTAGATGATAAAAAAATACATTTTGTTATAATGAGTAATGTATTTAAAACATCTCATGAAATTAATATAAGATATGATATAAAAGGAAGTCTTCATCAAAGAAAAACTCCAAATAATGCTGATTATACTGTTGCCAGAAAAGATTTAAATTTTTTAGAATCTCATGAAAAAATGAATATAAGAATAGATAAATAAAGTGAATTACTAACATAATTATGTAGAGATGCAGATTTTTTTGCTTAAAATAACATTATAGATTATAGTTTACTCTTAGGAATTCATGAAATTAATGTTCTTCAAACTTCTTCAAGAACTGACATATTCTAAGAGGTAGAATCTGATGATATCTCAATAATTCAATCAAAAAATGGTGATAAAATTTATTTCTTTGGAATTATTGATATTTTGACTAATTTTAAGTATTTCTCATATCTCTATCTATCTTAGCACAAAAAAGAAGATAGAATATTGTTGTAAAAGATGTTTTTAAGGTCCTGATATTTCTGCTATTCCTCCACATTAATATGCTGAAAGATTTAAAAGATTCATAACTAATATGTTTAGAAACAATACCTGATTAAATTTAATTTTCTCAATTATTTTCTTTATTTTATTAATTATTTCATTCCAGCTAACATATCGNCTGAAAAAAGAAGAGTTACTATAGCTAACATAAATAAAAAAAGAAAACCTGCCTTATCTGTTTAATTTGGTCATTAAAATTGGAATCTTGTATTAAATATGATGATAGGAATTTAAATGGCTGTCAAATCAGTTAATGCATTAAGTGATTATGAAGTTAATCTAAAAGATTTTAAATTAAAATATTATTTTGAACTTATGCCTAAAAGAACAGGAAATGATAAAACTACTTTTAAAGTATGTAAATTCTTTGATTATGCTCCTTAAGTATTCAATCACATAAGAAAAATGTTTTTTATAGATAACGATAATTATTTGAGTAGTATTGGACCTGAAACTTTATTATCAAGTATTTTAAAAGGAGATCTAAGTACATTATCTGAATTAACATCAACTGGTAAAAGTGGAAGTTTTTTTTATTATTCTTAAGATGGTATATATACATTAAAAACTATTTCCAAAACAGAATTCACTTTTATGAGGCATATTTTATACAATTATTTTAAACATCTTAAAGATTTTAGATAATCCTTAATAATAAAATTATTTGGAATGCATAAAATTATATTAGATGATAAAAAAATACATTTTGTTATAATGAGTAATGTATTTAAAACATCTCATGAAATTAATATAAGATATGATATAAAAGGAAGTCTTCATCAAAGAAAAACTCCAAATAATGCTGATTATACTGTTGCCAGAAAAGATTTAAATTTTTTAGAATCTCATGAAAAAATGAATATAAGAATAGATAAATAAAGTGAATTACTAACATAATTATGTAGAGATGCAGATTTTTTTGCTTAAAATAACATTATAGATTATAGTTTACTCTTAGGAATTCATGAAATTAATGTTCTTCAAACTTCTTCAAGAACTGACATATTCTAAGAGGTAGAATCTGATGATATCTCAATAATTCAATCAAAAAATGGTGATAAAATTTATTTCTTTGGAATTATTGATATTTTGACTAATTTTAAGTATTTCTCATATCTCTATCTATCTTAGCACAAAAAAGAAGATAGAATATTGTTGTAAAAGATGTTTTTAAGGTCCTGATATTTCTGCTATTCCTCCACATTAATATGCTGAAAGATTTAAAAGATTCATAACTAATATGTTTAGAAACAATACCTGATTAAATTTAATTTTCTCAATTATTTTCTTTATTTTATTAATTATTTCATTCCAGCTAACATATCGTATTATTATATTCAATATATTTTAATTATAGTTATTTATTTAATAAATATATACATTCAATAAAGATCCAATTTCAAAAATAATATATTTATTTAAATAAAAATCACAATATTATTTAAATTTACAACTTTAAATCATTTTGAGAGAATGTTGTTGGAGTTTAATTTTATTATTTTATTGAAATACTAATTTCAATTTATAATTAGAGCTTTCTTTATACTTCATAAATAAACAATAAAATCAAGAAGTGTTGAACATTTTTGGGATTATCAAAGATATTAGCAAATACTTTTAAATGAAATATAATATACAAATTTATATGTTAATAATTTTTAAAAAACAAAATAAAATATTAAAACAATTATAAATAAAATTTTAAGAAAATCATTTTATTGTTGCAATCAAAAAATGATTTAATAGTCTTCTAATTCAAGAAATGATTAAAACTTAAAAAAATTATATTAGAATTAATTAAAATAATAATATCTAGAAATTAAATTGAAGCAGTTCTAATAGAAATGACATTTTGAAAAACTCAATTGTCCCAAATTAATAATTACATCAAGATTATCTGAATTTTAAAAAATTTGAATTGCTATTTTTCTTAATTTTTTATCAAAAACAAGTTAAGACAAATTTTATAAGGAGGTTTGAATATGAAATAAATTCTGAGTTAGATTTATTAAAATATAAATAAGAATGATAACAATAACTAATTTTGTGACAAATGATTAATCAAAGACTTTCATTCTGTTGCCTAATATGAATAAAATAATAAATGGTTTGAAAAATTTTATTTTAATCAAATAAAATAAATTGGATTTATAAAAATGCTATAAAAGAAACTTAAGTTCAAAGAGATTGTACAAAACAATAATAGAAAAATAGATTTTGATGGTAATATTTAAATTAGAATCAAATTTTATTAAAATAATGAATTAAGAATCTGTTGTAGAAGGTCTCTTAATGTTAGAGATAATTTTAGATGTTTTATCTTAATAAAGGCAGGAAATTGATATTGTAAAAAATATTATTGGATGAGAATTAATTGATCATAAATTTATGGGAAATGAATTTTTGAAATTTTAGGAGTGTCCTCTGATTTTAAGCTAATAAAATGATATTTTAAAAATTTGAGTCAAGTGGAATTTTAATTTTCTGGTTTGATATTTAAATAAAATATTTAGTGGAATAAAAAAAATGTTGATTGGAAAGATAAGTTTTTAAAAAATGAGGAAAAGAAGGATTATTAAATATAAAATAAGAAGAATATCATAAATATTGATTATATGTAGGGTTCATTACGTTTTATATATATAAAATAAAATTGGATGAGGAAATATAGAATATTTTTGGATAGAGATGATAAAAGTTTTTTAGATTATAATTGTAACTTCTTTAGTAAATAAAAATAAAAGTTTGGAGGGAAATCTAAATTGATGTTGATAATGTAATTTTGGAATTTGGATAAAATCAAACATCATAATATTTTGTGATTCAAGAATTTATAATTAAAGTTTTTATGTTGTATAACTATATTCAAGATTATCAATATAAAAATAAAATAAATAAATCTTATTAAGGAAATATAAGGAAAATCTTTAGATAAAATTTATATAATTTTTAAGTATTTAAGTAGAATCAAAATACTTGGAAATGATAATAAGAATAATCTTGATAGGAATGATAAATAATATTTATATAAATTTATCTGTAATAGAATGATAATTAAATTATAGAGTTTTATTATTGTATATATTTAAGAAAGCCTTGTTATTTTTATCCTTACAATTAATAGAAAGATTATTCCATTGTCAAAGAACAAGTTTATATGATTTTTTAAATTGGGCAAAAATGGCTTAGTTTAATTAGAATTAAAATAGTAAATGAGTTCAAGGTATCACAAATAAGATTAGAAATTTGACAAGGAGTTCTTAGCAATAGTAGATGCATTTGGAGGGAAGAATTGTACTAGCTGGACTTAAGTAGCTAGAAAATTTGAATTATAAACAGGAGAGAAAGTATAGAAAGCTAATACACTTCGATATCGTTGGGAATAATTAACAGGATATTCAGAGAATTTTACAAAAGAATAATAAATATAACTAATAGAAAGTGATATAAAATCTAGAGGTGTTAAAAGATAAGGATTAAATGATTTCTATTAATTAACAGGAATTAAGTAATTAAAATAAAATAGATTTTAGATTATATAAAGGAAGATTTTGTAGAATATCCTCATAACATATAAAATAAGCAATATAATCAATTGATGAAGTATTTGCAAAAGAAAGAAAACATAGAAGATGTGGAAAAAAAGATGCAGAATTTAGATTAAAATTATCACATTTAAGCATTTATATTTTATTAAGAGCTAAAGATACATTGACATCTGATGGATT